GGCTATGTCGCTGAACTCCCATGTAGCTGACCACGGTTCGAGTGCCGGACCCGGTGGCTTAAACTCATGCCTGGCGCATGTGCATGCATGTCCAAGATCCCAAGAGGAGAATGGAGGAGAAAGGATTGTGATGTGGCCATCCCCCCGGCGGGTGATTTCTCGCTTTCTATCTCTCTCTCTCTGTGTCTTTCTGCAAGCACATGTGCCCTATAGCAAAAACCTCTCCCCCCCCCGAAAAAAAAAAAAAAAAAAATAGAAATGGAAAATTATTGACAATAACATGTACGATTAAGCACTATGCAGCATATTCTGGAGGGGAAATCATATTTTTATGCTGCGACAATGCTCAGTAAATGAATGTAAATTAGTTAATTAAAACCAAAAAATTTTTAAAAAAATACTAAAATCTTGGCACTACATAATGAGACAGGACACAGACCCAGGGAGAAGGTAAATAGGGCAGGGAACTCCCAAGGAAGAGTCACTATGATAGGCAATGAACACATACGTATATTAAGGTAGAGTGAACTTATAAAATGGAGTCACTCTGGTCAAACTTTTGGGAAGGTTGTTTACTACTCTCAATAAAAATTAAGTATTGGTTCTGACTACTTGCTCACACAGAGTCAACTGTGGTTCGAACCCCGGACCCAGTGGCTTAAACTCATGCTGGGCACGTGTGCGTGCGTGTCCAAGATCCCGAGGGGATGGTGGAGGAGAAGGGATTGTGGCATGGTCATCCCCCCTGGGGGGGTGATTTCTCGTTTTCTATCTCTCTCTCTCTGTGTCTTTCTGCAAGCACATGTGCCCTATAGCAAAAACCTCTCCCCCCCCGCAAAAAAAAAAAAAAAAAAAAAATCATGTCCTTATCCACATTTCTACCATCACTCCATGGTCATTTTATTCTTCCTTCTCTTAATAATAGCTACCATTCAGCACCAATGATGCCAGGAAATGTGCTCAGTGCTTGAGTCCCAATGATAAGTGAAATAAACACTTAAGTCACTATCAGTCCATGAGAAGAAGTCTGTAATTTGGGCAAATGTGAAGCTGCACCTCGATAGGGAGGTGGGATCAAGTTTCACAGTCATAAAGGATGAGTGTTCTCATCATAAAAGAGTAGTAGTGGAGTAGGTAACCTGTTGAGGGTATGGACACCTGAGAAAAATTTTTTTTTCAAGGAATGCTAGCTATGGGATAAAATATAAGGTGAACAGAATATTCCTAACAGGAACACATAGAAAAGATTCTTGGGGTAAAAGAATGAAGCCTTTACTAAGAAAGCAGGAAAATGAAGGAACAAATGCAAGAAATTTTTAGGAGGCAGACTCAAGGACTTTGTGAATAAGCATGAGTGTGAGGAAGAGAAGGAATAAACTATGTTGAGGTTCTAATAAATATGAGTATTAGGATTAAGTGATGATACCATTAAGGAAAGATACAAGAGGTGGAGCCAGTTTATAAGGGCCTTCAGGTAGCATGACAGAAAGCTGCAGCCTCGGACATTAATATCACCCAGCAGCAGGAAAGGGAGCACTGGGAGCCGGAGTTGAGACTAGACAAAAAAGTCCACCTCAGGAAGGAATCTTGTCTATACAGAAGTCCCAGAGGTACAAAAAAGGAATAGTTGATAGCATGGTGAGAACTGGTAAAAGACAGTAGATTTGACGGAGGATGGTCGCTGATCACCTTTCCTAGCATATCTAAGAACATCACAGGAGTTAAGACAGAGCCCAGTGGGCCACACATGACTGGGAAGTGAAGAAAGGGAGGTTGAAAGCATTTCAGAATCAGGGTGTGAAGAGGAATAGGAAGGTGATAAGGAAGGTTTGTTGCTCTTTATTTGGTCTTTTTTTCTGGGCTTGAGAAAACTTTCACCGTATTTATACAAAGGGGAAAACAGGACAGAGGAAACACAAGAAGAGAGAGAAAAGAGAAGGGATCCAGTACACAGCCAGAGTATAGACAGGAAGGTACCGTTCTTACCTTTTCCTCAGAAACTAAGTTATTAAGAACTGACAAAAGTAAAATACATCGAGAGGGAGGACAAACAGGTAGCCAAATTCATTTTAAATTATAAAATAAATTCTACGTTCAGTAAATAGTACCTGAGAAAAAGAAAAATCCATGGGAAATACTCTAAACACAGCTATAGCAGTATCTTAATTCAACTTGCACAGGAAAAAAACTGTAGAACAAGTGGATGCCTTATTTAGTTTTCAAGAATTTCATTTAGCTATCCCAACAATGTTTAAGCTGATCAGTGCTAATTAATATAAAATTGTAAGATTCTGTATTTTTTTTAGAAACTTCCTATCCATTATAATCTAGAGACATCCCAAATTCATATTTTGAATAAGAAAAACAATGTGTCTTCAGGTTTTTCATTCTCCCTGGTAAATTCTACTAAAAGTATGATTATGTGTATGATTTAAAACTTAATGACAGAAATATTCCTTTTTGAATTCCTGATTTTTGAGAACTATTAGTAGTTTTTAGTTGAGGGCCTTTAGTCTTTTCTTTTCCTTCCTAAACTATCCTGACCCCACATTTTACCTTGCTCTTTCTATTTCCCAGTGCCATTCAATCCAGAATTTTTATTTACATGGCATTCATATGCATTTCATTTCGATTAAACTTGACTAGTTTATGCCAACTTATGCTTTGTTGGACATTATAGAGAAGAACTGATATATTATTTTGAGTTTAAGAGTATGATCAACATTTAAGGTAGGTTCTAGCTGAAGATTAAACTAGGTCTTCAATATGATAGTTACTTAGCACCACGACAACACCAAACACAATTAAGATTACTGCCCCAATTCTACCATGATTTTCCACTAGATTTTACTGCTTTCAAATAATGTGATTACCATTATTAATCCTAGCATGAGTCTAACATAACCCAATGTCACATTAAACAAAATGTAAAAATCATAAACACCTAGTAATTGAAACTACTTTCTTTCAAAAAATAAAGTTCTACTAGTAAGTAATACTTCAAACATTCAATAAATAACTGAGTGCTTAATATGAGGCAGACACTGTTCTATGACTGGGGATTCAATAGTAAGAAAAACATAAACATTTCTGCCTTCATGGAGCTTATATACCAGTAAAGTAAAACAAATAACGAACCAGCAATTGCTTAGTCTGATTCTTACCAGTGCTACGGACATATATAAAGCAGGAGCTGGTGGGGAATGCTGGTGCACAGTCAAGGTCTTGGCTAGGTAACAATGGAGTGAGAGCAGAAGGATGCAAGGGGGTGCAGAAGCATACCTTGGTGCTTTGAGGAGAAGCACTGAGCAGAGTGCCTGGAGCTAGAGGAGGAGGAAGGAAAATGGCAGCAACATGAGGTAGGGGTCTCAGCCTCCATAAATTTGAAGACTTTGGCCATTTACTCTGAATGAGATAGGACAATACTATAATTTGACTTGTTTTTAAAATAATCACTCTGGCTACGTTATGGGGAACAGACTTACTGGAGCACAAGGATCTAAGAAGGGTTTTGTGGAGGCTATAGCTTCAATCCAAGCAAGAGATGATGATGGCTTGGAATATGGTGTTAAACAGTAGCATTCAAAATAGGTGGTCAGCTTTGGATATATTTTGAAGGCAGGGCCTACTGCATTTACTGAAAGACTAGATACAGGAGATAAAGAAAGGAGAATCAAGGACAACTCCAAAGATTTTATCCTGTGCAACTGAAAGTATGGCATTGCCATTTACTGAGTTGGGGAAGACTGATGGAGAAGCAAGTTTGGGAGGGAAGGTCAAGAATTCAGTTTTGGATATGTAGAGTTTGCGCTTTAATTAGATTTCTAAATTAGGCAGTTTTATAGATCATAGGGAGTGATGACACCTACAAAAGAAGAAAGGTTCAAGGAAACTTCTTAAAAACTTGGTAAAACTAAAATCATAAGCAATTTTGAAGGTATAGATGTAAATGAGTATAGACTATACAACAGAAAACCTCCCACACCTTGAAAGCTCACTTCAACTGCCTTCTGTCCAACTTAACATTTTTTAAAACGTTTAATTTACATATAAACCTAAGAAACTCCAAGAAGCTTTGGAAAACCCCTTAGGGGTCACCTTGACCCTTGGGCCTCAAATATAAGGAATTAAAATGTTCCAATGACATAGCCATTACAGGTTTTACCTTAAATTTGCTTGAAAGCAAATATTAGTTAATTCAGGGGCCCCCAACCCCTGGGCTGGACCAGTACTGGTCCCTGGCCTGTGAGGAGCAGTGGACAAGCTAGACTTCCGAGACTTCATCTGTATTGCAGTTGCCTCCAAGCCTTCCTATCGCCTGCGTTACTGCCTGGGTTCTGGTCAGTCCCTGTTACTGGGAAGGTTGGGGACCACTGAGTTAATTTATTCATTTAACAAGAATACATTAATACATTTACAAAAAGAGGTATAAAAGAGCACATTTGGAAAAACTGGATCTTTGCTTTAACATTCCCTAGTCTGTCCTGGGGAAAAGTGGTAGGATTCTAAGACAGAATTCACATCACATATGGTATCAAGTCTTTTCAAAAGAAGTAACATTTAAGCCCTTTTAAATTTCTATTTCTAAATTTTATCTTTTTTGGAAAAAAAAAATTGCCAGAAGGCAAGTGCACAGGTGCTTGCAGGAGAAAGAGAGAGAGAGAGAGAGAGAGAGAGAGAGAGAGAGAGAGAGAGAGAGAGAGAGAGAGAATGAATGACCATACATGGCAGGACGGTCACGCTTCAATCCCTTCTCCTTCAATACTACTTTCAGGATTTTGGGCATGCATGTGCATGTGCCCACTGTGTATCTTAAGCTTCTAGGCTGTAGTTACATAAGTTGTATCAAGATAAACACTTAAAAGGATTTTTTAAAAGTTTTTTTCCATAAGGCACATGCACTCAACCAGAGAGAAAGAGAGAGAAACAGTGAGAGAAAAAGTGAGAAATCACCCCCCAGGTGGATGACCATGCCACAATCTCTTCTCCATTCTCCCCGTGGAATTCTGGGCATGTATGCACACGTGCCCAGCATGATTTTCAAGCTGCCAGGTCCAGGACATGAACCACAGTCAGTCATGTGGGAGTCCAGCACCCTAATCACCATGCCACCTTCTAGCCCCCTATTTAAAAGGATTTAAAGCAAGTGAGTTATACTTAAAAAAATTCATATGCATAGGAGTCATTCAACTGATCATTTGACATAGTGCCAATATCCGAATACTGATTGCTCTGAACAAAATTGTTTGGATTAGCATTGTTTGACTGTCCCGACTCATCTATCATGCTGTTATCTGCACAACTGAAGTTAGACTGAGCAAATGCATCCGATGGTGGAGCAAAAACAGCAGTACTGGAACTGGCGCCTGTGGACATGCTGGAAGTAGACATCTGATGGAGCTGTCTCAAGTCTCTTGGGTCTAACACTGAATTACATGAAGGATTGTCAAGGTTCATGCTCACAAGTCTTGGATTATCAGTCTCTCCCATGCTATCATTGCTGGTTGTCATCATATTCACAGGACAGTTGGGCAACATGTTGGCATCAGAAATACCATATAAGTCAGCTGAGGACAGGGATGATGCTTCCATTCTGCCTGTGTCATCAGTATCGTTATAAATGCAAGCATTCGAAGCATTTAAATGATTCACATCAGGTATTTCCAGGAAAGGTGGGATACCTTGTGAATTAGAGGAAAGGGTCCCTGTTGGAAATCTACTCAGTGGATTTGCATTGACTGAGCATGTGGTGGAAGGGGCCATTGTTGACCAGCTTGAAGGAGGGTGAGATACCATCGAGGGCATGGCTGAAGGATGATGAGAGAATCGACTTGAGGTGGACCCAAGTGAGGAATAGAATTCTGCTCGACCTGAAACCCCGGATGGCCTGGGCATTTCTGCATGAGAAAACAAGTTTGATTCTGTGGGAGAAAAATGTTATTTTACAAAATTAAACACAATTTTAGAAAGCATTGCTTCTAAATGAAAATTGCACAAACATACTAATAAAGAAAAACTTCAAGGAAACTGATGTAACGGTTAAAATAAAAAAATTTAAAAACACTAAAATTATTACATGGGTCGGGAACCAGCAGTTAGCGTAATGGCTATGTCGCTGGACTCCCACATAGTCAACCGTGGTTCGCGTCCCGGACCCGGTAGCTTAAAACTCACGCCGGGCGCGTGTGCGTGTGTGCCCAAGATCCTGAGAGGAGAATGGAGGAGAAGGGATTGCGGCGTGACCATCCCCTCTGGGGGTGATTTCTCGCTTTCTGTCTCTGTATCTCTCTCTGTCTGTCTGGCAAGCGCACACGCCCTATAGCAAAAAAAAATCCTCTCCAAAAAAAAAAAAACCAAAAAACAAAAATTATTACATGGGTCTACTCAAAACAGGATTCTATAACATGCACTGTTTTATAAATACATATAAAATAATTTTGGTAAGTTGTTTTTGCACATGTAATGTCACATCAGTTAAATATGAACATCTAGCTTCAACAGTCCTATAAATATCAAAATTTCTATTAATGGGAATGTAGATAACCAAAACCATTTCATACTCACTACTTTTTTTTTTTTTTTTTTTTTGAGAGTTTTTTTGCTATAGGGTACGTGCACTCACCAGAAAGATAGAGACAGAGAACAGAAAGTGAGAAATCACCCCCCCGGGGGGGATGGCCACACTGCAATCCCTTCTCTATTATACCAGCTGCTGGCCCCATACTCACTACTTTTAAGAAAAAACAGAGAGCTGCAAAAATAATTTTTTAGGAATGACTGATCCCTATGTCAATGAGAATTTCACATACCTTTTAAGATATTTTAAGATATGACGCTAAGGTATTACAAAGTTCCCAGTTAGAAAAAAATTAATTTTGTATTTATTTACATATCATACAAATGCTGTGCATACTAACTCAGGAAAAAGAACAGATTTAAGGATGGGTAGAGGAGAAAAGACTTCTAATTAACTCTTGGTTGAATGATCTAAACCAGGAGTTGGTAAATTTTTTTCTGTAAGGGGCATACAGATAGCATATTTTAGTTTAATGCACTTTATAGCCTCTGTATAGTCCCTGTTGCTGTACACTTAAAAAGCAAAGATGATAGGTAACCAAGTAAGCTTGACTGTGTTCCAGTAAAATTTAATTTATAAAAATAGGCAACTAGCCAAATCTAAATAATTTCTTCTATGACATATTGTAATTAGCAAAACTACTATCATATGAACAAAAGGTAATTTCTTTCTTTCCTTTTTTTTTTTTTTTTTTTTTT